CATGATAAATCATAGTTGTTTGTAGGATATTTGAGAGATATGTATCGACGAATTTATGCTTTTAATTGCCTTTTCATCTTTTTTTATAAGCAGATAGCTTCTGGTTACGTTAAAATAAGTTAATGGATTGTTTATTTTTTGTTTGCGGCAGGAGAAGTTTCATATATATATATATATATATATATATATATATATATATATATATATATATATATATATTATTATATTTCTTTAAGGCTAATTTTATTTGTTTACTGATGACGTCATTAGGGAAGTTTTTTTTTTTTTTAATAATTTAATTTTAGGCAAGGCGATAATACCACTAAGACGTAAGAGGGTTACTGGGAGTAAAAACAGAATGAAAAGTTTATCGAAAGAACCGGAAACCCAATCCCAACCAGGAAAACAAGGGATAAACCTTTCCTCTTTTTGAAAACCGGACGACAAGTGAACCTATCTCTACATTTATTGTTTAAAATGTTGCTAAGTTCGTTATTTGTCCGAAGGGGAATTTTACTTTGACCTGGTAAATCAAGTTTTTTTTTTTTTTTTTAATAACAGCTATTTTGTATCTGTGAGGATCATCTCTTTTGTAGTTAAGTAAACACGAGCAATTGTTAGTGTTTTTTACTATATATATATATATATATATATATATATATATATATATATATATATATTTAATAATAATATAAAAGGCTCAAACACTAATATTCCATGGTTATAATTTATTACATTAGAATCGTAATCACGATCCAATTCATCAAACCTACAAATTCAAAAAGAAATCGGAAAATATAACTAGGATATAAAAAACAAAATTTTATTGAGAGTTTATGTGTGGAGTTGTGAGGAAATGTATAAAAGCTCTAGAGAGAGGTGTAGCAGAAAGAAGGACAGAAAGGCCTAAAAGTCGAAAAGGATTAAAATTTAACAGAGAAAAGTTTTAAATAGAGGAGTTAAATAACGGTTGAAATGAGTGAAATCCAAATAAATATGAATTATTTTCCTCAGTCGTTTAAACCGTTATTTAACTCCCTTCATTAAAACTTTTCTCTGTTAAATTTTAATCCCCCCCCTTCACGTTTAAGCCTTTCCTGTTCTTCTTTCTTCCGTTACACCCTCTCTCTAGAGCTTTGTTTCCCACTCCCACACATACACTCTCAATAAAATTTTGTTTTTTATACCCGGAGTTATATTTTCCGATTTCTTTTTGAATTTGTAGGTCTGATGAATTAGATCGTGATTACGATTCCAATGTAATAAATTATAACCATGGAATATTAGTGTTTGAGCCTTTTATATTATATTCTTACTCTGTCCTGGACATTGAGTTCTACCTAGATTCTATCCGCTTGGGAATTATATATATATATATATATATATATAATGCGATGTGTGCACGTAAAGACACTTGTGCTTATTTAATATGTAAAATAATGCAGTAGCATAATGACAGCAAGTTATACAACCTGACACCCCTACACATATTACTATGAACAGTCCAAGAGTGAGACGTAGTAATTTATGAATGAACTGTTTCGACATTATTAATACTTACAATACTATAAATTTTACTATGTATTCTATTTACTAAATGTTACTAATAAATCCCTTTCGTAGTATCACCTGTAAACAGAGTATTTCTTTTGTTTTATTTTATTGTTTCGACTATAAATACGTTATTTTTTTTTTTTTAGAATTTTAAAAACAAGGCCTCACATCTCCATGAACTACGGATTTTTTTTTTCAATATGTTTTTATTATTAACTGTATATGCTCGTGTATAAGTCGACTTGATATAATGTGCGTCCCTTGAATTTTTCGGCATGAATTTGAACTAGTCCGGGAAAAAATTACCTGTGTATAGTGCGAACACCTATTTTTTTTTTTTTTTTTGTGCCAAAAACTTATCATAAAAACTTGCTCGTTGCTCGAGTATATACGATATTATTATTATTATTATTATTATTATTATTATTTGTGTGGATGTGTGTTATGTTTCTTGCTTTGTATCCTGTTGAGCCGGGTTCAAATTACGGTTCTTATCTCTAGGAGAGAATTGTCATTTAATTGATAGCACTTTTCTTAATATATGGGATGTTCCTAGTAGGGCGATCTTCTGGGCAACTTGATGTTACCTGGGACCTACATAGTAAAATTGTTCATTCCTTTTCTCACAAGGCCCAGTGCTCCGATTACTATTGGTACAGTCTCGGTCTTCATTCCCCATATCCCGTTAATCTTGATCTCCTGGTCCTTGTATTTGGATAATTTCTCGATAATTTTTATGGAGGTGTTTCTCTCAGATGGCACCACCATGTCAATAAGCATACACTTCCTGAATTTCTTGTCTTTTATGATAACATCAGGTCGGTTGGCTTTTATTTCCCTGTCAGTTTGAAGTGGCATAACCGAGAGGATAGTTACATCGTTATTTTGTGTAACTGTGTGTGGTTGATGGTAATACCATCTCTCAGTGGTTTCGATTTTGTGCTTCTGGCATATCTTCCAGTGCACAGTGTTTACCCTGTCATTATTATTATTATTATTATTATTTAAAAAACACCTGAGTTAGGCACCTGTCGCTTCACTGACGTCAAGATGATCTAATGTAAAAAAAAATGCTACATTTATTAGAGAATGTATTCACTCTAAATACAGGAGTAATAAAAATTACGTCAAAGGCCCGCGTATTTCGGCTTATAACCTTTTCCTGTTACTCAGGGCTTTGTAGTCAGATAAAAAGGAAAATTAGCTTTCGCGACAATGTAATTATAATCTCTTTGTACATTTTGTACTTCCAGATCAGTGAACTAGTTGTACTATGTTTGCTTCAGTATAAACTTACTGTTCCTAAAATCTGAATATCATAATTCCCTACTCAAAATGAATGGTGTATGACCCATGAACCATTTTTACGACACTATGGTACTAAAAACAGAAACGACAATAATAATAAAACCAACAACTATATATATGTCTTTATGTATCATATGTGTGTCTGCCTGTCCGCCACTCTCTCTCCATATATATATATATATATATATATATATATATATATATATGGGGAGATAGACAAAACGGTTGACAATGTGCTTAACATTGCCATCCATTTTGGATTTAAAAGCATAATGAAAAAAAAAAATACCGTAATGGATTACAATGCACATCTTTATGTAAATACTTATACTAATGAACAATATATAGTTTTGTACAACTTGCATCTCATCTTTTAACATCAATACACCGAAGATTATTTGTGAGGATGAACGTATTTTATAAAAAATTAGCAGACATAATGTCTGTAATTTATTCAATCAGACATGCCTAAAAGAGAAGTTGCTACCTATATAATAATAATAATTATAATGGACTCTCCCGTCGGTTTCGACGTATGAGGATCTGACAGCTTATTGATTCAGTTATGAAATTTTGTGCGATAATCTTCAGTGGCATTTAAGACCCGCTAGTGATTTACAAAGGAGGCCACATATGGAGCAAGTGTAAGGATTGTGAGATGAGATCACTGTTACATATATATATATATATATATATATATATATATATATATATATATATATATATATGTATGTATATACCCGGGAGCCGAGTTTGAATTACAGTCAAACATTACATTCACTGACATGATAATACCCTTGGTAAAGGTATGGATTCATGTTTTGTCTCCCCCCAGCTGTGGGTAAATAGTAGGTCAGACTGAGTTCTATAGCCTTGGGTAGCATCCAGTCTAGGGGAAGGAAAACTCTGAATTCAAAATCAGGCTGGAGAGGGTTGGGCTTCGTCAGGTTATCTTGCCCAAGACACACCACTTCTACTGCGGCTGCAGTATGTGTGGTGCCCCTACTACTCTAATGCGATAGGGGACTTCTGATAGCAGGATAGAATGGGTTCTATAGCCTTGGATGGCAACTGATCTAGGAGAAGGACAACTCTGAATTCAAAACCTGCGGAGGGTCGTTTGGGGACCTTGTGACACGTAGTGCACCAGGTCTCTATATTCGTCCCTTCAAAAAGTGTGGATGGTCCCGCACGAAACCTTCACCACTATAATCAAATCTCATGTGCCGGTGTCGGGCTGTCGGTTTCCTGGAAACTGATCTGCTTGACCCTCATACGTCGAATCTCGACGGGAGAGTCGATTATTATATATATATATATATATATATATATGGGAGAAGGGTACTCAGTATCGAGGCGATGGCGTATGCACATATAAACAGTGCTAAAATATAAAACAACCCTTCAATAGTGACTGACAGTTTCACCGGTGAAGTGGCCATCAGTCTTTATCGCTTAAGGTCAGGTGTATCTGAGAGTTCTTTTTCTCTTTTCTGCAACATTGTGCCGTTTAAAGTTATCTCTCTTGCACCGGCGATGCCAGGTGGCAGAGTCTTTGCGATGACAATAGCGAAGACACTACCAAAAGACATGACAAAGGGATCAATGTAAAACAAGAAGAAAAAACTCACACGTGAAAACCCTTTTTAATAACAGTATGAATTTAATAATAATAATAATAATAATGTAATTAAAGCTCTTAGTAATGTGCTTTAATTATTTGCAAAGAGCTTGATCTAAGTAAAATGTCTGTGATCATAGTTTTTTCTTTTACAAAAATGATCAGTGGAAAAGGTCATGAACCCAGTTCTGAGCTTAGGTTTCTGGTTGGGACCCGGTATTCAATAGAAATCAAAGGAAATAATAATAATAATAATAATTATTATTATTATTATTATTATTGATTCATTCGATACATTCCGAATATGTTTGCAAGAAGACAAATGGAAAAATAGTAAATTTGAAGAATTTATATTTTATACCATCCTGAAAATTGAATGGGGATTTAGCTGCCTTCCCATAGAAGCAGGATCTGACAAAAGGTCAATTTTATAGTGCAACTCCCAACGTACACCGGGAAAGGGCAAAAATGGATCGGTAACTGCTACTTCCCATTGGGACGCCACAGGCATCAGGAAATGCCCCACCCCTGTGTAAAAATAATGTTGTCTTTGAATTCTCATGTCCTACCCGACGACTCTACCCTTTTAGGTGTAAAGAAAAGTTCGTGTTTCGAGGAGTGGGAACAACCCCCCCTGAAGCTAAGCTTAACCACAGATGACCGGCAATCTGAACGGGTAGGACTAAAATCTACAGGAAATTACTGTTACTTGATGTTTGTCAAAAACCACTACTATTACTATTCTTTCAGGACGTGGGCGATAATGGCTCGCCACAACTTCCTGTTTTTGTTGCTCTATTTATCATCGCTCTTTGTAATTGATCTATTAGGTTGGTACAAAAATAATGACGTAATAATGTCGTTTTCTTACGTTAAAAATATGTCAAAAAACGACATTATTATGTCATTATTTTTGCACCAACCTAATACCAACCATTCACACCAACTTATGATGTTGGTTACTTGCTATTTGCCTTGCTTGCTTTTATGATGTCCTCTGAGTGTTATACTCTCTAAGTCACGAACTGAACTCGACTTTTCGCGGCCATAACCGCTACGCTACGCGCACATCCATACTACTGCTACTATTATTATTACTACTACTAATACTACTACTAATAATAATAGAAACAAGAAGAAGAAAAAGAAGAAAATAGTAAGACCTAAAGAAAAATGTGAATTTGAAACATATAAACATTTTTAAAGCCTTGAAAAAAGAAGAAATGATGATGATGATGATAAAAATCACTATGATTAAAACCAGACGAGCAGAAAATCTAAAGAAGGTTTCGTAATATACAGGACTCGGCGTTGCTGGGGTCTACAACGATACTGAAGTAGGTGATGGAGATTTGAGGTAACTTACTATCACTTTAATCTTTAGCGAATGCCAGCAGACAGGTGTGAGCGCTCAAAATATACAAGATAATTATCATAGCAACTCTAGTAATAATATTGCTTCTTTTTTTGTCTGTTTGTCTGTCTGAGTGTGTGCGCGCGCGCACGCGCATGCGCGTTGCGTCCCTTCACGACGTGGGCGATTAGGATTCTCAAAAGCTTTTTTTTTTTTTTTTTTTTAACGACACTGCTAAATAAATTTTTTTTTTTTCCATTTGATTTATTTAATGGCTTTTCGTTTCTTTTCTTTTCTTTTTGCAGCATTCATTTCGCACGTAAAAAAAGAAAATTATTTATTCACATCAGTAAATTATTATTATAATTAATGACTGATCATAATAATAATAAAGAGAATAAAGAAAATATTTTCTGAAAGAGCGGGGTCAGCGTCCTTTGAATGCCGAGTTAGACCAACCTACTCTACCAGCTCAAGGCTAGGGTATCAAAGTGAAACGACTCGCTATTGAGGTTGTAAATTTTTTCTTTCATTCGGCCTGAATAAAATAAAATGTTCACATTTCATAGAGTGACGGATCTATTACGAAAACTAATGAAACTTAAGTTTCAGGCTCCCTAATCCCAGAAGGACTCTTGAAGCAACTTTTTTAAATGTGTGATTTTTTTCAGCAAATCAGTGTTTTATCTGTTTGTATGTGTTTTTAGTGTCTGTTATTAAAATAAGCCCATTTTAGTGGTAGAATCATAAATCAATGAATTGAAGCTAATATTGGCCTTAGAATATGTTCTAATACCCATTCCTTATAGCCGGGGTAGGCAACCCTCGCCTCCTGGGCTACATCCGGTCCGCGAATGATTTTTGTCCTGTTCGCCAAATTAACCCTAGTATGGAATTTGCATTTTTGTTGTGTTAGTTTTTATCCTGTTATACGTGCAGTAAAACCTTATTTAAATAACATAAAATGAACTTCCTTGTTTTTCTTTAAAACTCAAGGCCAATGATTCCCAACATGGGGCGCATATCTCACCGGTAGGGTATGGTAATATTTTGGTGGGGTATGCGTAGGATGTGCACCCTTAGGCTTCGGCTTACTATACTAATGTGAGATCAAATTTCATTTTGCATTATTATTTCATGATTAAAATGATCAAAATATATTACAGAATAAGCTTTCCTTCAAATATTTTATATTTCTGCCTTTCAATTCTCTATTATATGTTTTGAAACTATATATATATTTAACTGTCTTTTTGGTTTTTTTTTTTATGGACGCCATGGTCTTTGGAGGCTTGTTTAGAGACAAAGTTAATGGCCTTTTAAGCTTCCTTCACTTGAATTGCAGTAAAAATTGAATATGTAAGAATTAAATATTTTAGCGGGACACCAGAATTCTAGAAATACCAAAGTGGGGTATGGTCCAAAATTGGTTGGGAACGACTGCTCTAGCTGAAAGGCAGCTTTCTGGATGGAGCTGTCTGGAGTCGAGACAATTTATTATACTACAATTTATATCATGGCTCTCCTCCGAGATACTGCATAACTTTCTGGCCCGCTATCTCTAAAAGGTTCCCCACCACTGTCATATGGCCTCAAAATTTCCCTTTATTTAGTCAAATTTCAAAAATTGGTATCCGGGTGTATGTTCTTGCAGCGTCCGAACCTCTAATTCTGTGGGTTCATTGGGGTTCTCTCTAGACTTTATTTTTGGCTGTTTGATCTTCAAATATATTTTTGCTGCTTGTGAAGAGGCCCCCATATCTGTTCGAGCTTCAGGTCCCTAACAAATGTGCTTGTATTTTATATACCTACAAAATTGTTTAAATTAGTCGGGCTTGTCGAATCTTTGATTCCTACTTTCAAAGATTTAGGATGCAGTTGCATAACAGGTACGACGGCCAGAAATATTCTTCTTTTTTTTTATATAGTACTATAAATTAATCTATACTTCACATCATGAATATTCATTTTTCTTAGAATATTATATAGAAATTTTATAAAATATGGAGGTTTCGTTTGCTATGTAAATTCATTGTGAACATCGATCCCGCTTTAGAGGCCAAAACAAACAACATATTTCACTGCTTATAAGACGCATTTTCCTCCTATAAATTATCTTCAAAAATCACCTAGCGTCGGGATCCAAAACATAATAAGACAGGGATCAGCAAATTTTTGCTGACTGTGCTTAGTTATATGTTAGGCGATCATGTATCTTTCGATACATGACTGACAAGGCAGATTTTTTTCCCGCAGTAGATTGCCATTTCTTTCTCCAGTAAACCAGTTGCCATCCACAGCTACAGAACCCTGTCTGTCCCGCTATTTACCCATAGTCAGTCAGTTATGTGCCATGCGTGATAGACGCTCAGGCGATCATGTATCTTTCGATACATGACTGACGAGGCAGATTTTTTCGTGCAGTAGGTTGCCACTTCTTTCTGCAGTAGACCAGTTGCCATTCCAAAGCTATAGAACCCGGTCTGACCTGCTATTGACCCATAGTCAGTCAGTTATGTGCCATGCGTGATAGAGGCTTAGACGATCATGTATCTTTCGATACATAACTGACGAGGCAGATTTTTTCGTGCAGTAGGTTGCCACTTCTTTCTGCAGTAGACCAGTTACCATTCCAAAGTTATAGAACCCGGTCTGACCTGCTATTTGCCCATAGTCAGTCAGTTATGTGCCATGCGTGATAAACGCTTAGGCGATCATGTATCTTTCGATACATGACTGACGAGGCAGATTTTTTCGTGCAGTAGGTTGCCACTTCTTTCTGCAGTAGACCAGTTACCATTCCAAAGCTATAGAACCCGGTCTGACCTGCTATTTACCCATAGCTGGGGGAGAAGAAGATTCATACCTTTCCGAAGGGTATTAGCACGTAAGTGAATGTAATTACTCATAATTATATGCCAACTTAGGGCTTTAAAATCATTCAGTGTGCCAACAGCATATGTATTTTTATCCAAGTCAAGTACAATGTACTTGTTCTACAATATATATTTTTGTAGTAATATGTAGTATATATACTTTGGTATATATTAAAATTGAAACAGCTGAATATCTTCTTTGCGTTGTAGTAGCTATTGGTTCGGACTTCGTGATGTCATTTGCCATTGGAAATTGTTTGGCGTGCCACGTGTGCCGTAGTTTGGAGACTCCTGGTCTAAAAAATATTCGTCGAGAGACTTATGGTCTAATGTGGGTCATATTAATATACAAACAATGCATGATTTTCCAAGCGTAGCTCAGATGTGGCACAAGGCCGAAAGTATGCGGTACCCAGTAAGGATCGAACTCACTAGTAATTGTTCTAGTGAGACAAGCTTGCTAACCATTACACCACCTCGAGGTACCCAAATAAATGCTTATAAACCATTGTATCATTCGTAATTAATGTTGCTATAAGTGTCTTAGGTATTTGTAATATAGTGAATATCAATCAAAAGTGTTAATTTATTAAAATATATTAGACGGGTATTCCAGAGACCAATGTCCTTAGATGAGTATTCCTTAGACCAATGTCCTTAGATGAGTATTCCTCGAGACAACTGTTCCTTAGACCAATATTCTTTAGAGGAATGTTTCTAAATTCTCCTGCGTCCTAGAAATCGAAGGTGACGGGGATTTTTTTATTTTAAAGAATTATTACATTCCAAACAGTTACCATAAATTTGGTAGTTCTTGGTCTGGGATGGAATTTTGTTTATGATTAGTAAGGTTTTCATGCTATTCAGGGAGCAAAATTGCGAATAGTGTGGAGGGCTATGAAGTACAAGGAATAAAGAGTTTGTTTGTTTTTTTTCGATGTGTCTTATAAGCCGTGAAATACGTTATGCTGACGGGACGTGATTTCTTTGAGCGTAAAAAATTGAAATTTATTACTTAGTCGATAGTAATATATGAACAAAGAACTCCACATTACGAAATTCAGTTTTTTAAAAAGATTTTTTTTTTTACATTTCCAATGAATTTACATCGCACTTTCCCTCAGCTTTGAACTCTTATAGAATTCAATTTTTTTAAATTTTTTATCTGGTGTGTACAATTAAAGGAAAATGAAAAAAAAAATATTTCTGGCCTCAAATTTCTCCACCAAATTTGCAATATTGAACATTATATTATTTCTTCTTCTTCTTCTTCTTCTTCTTCTTCTTCTTCTTCTTCTTCTTCTTCTTATTCTTCTTCTTATTCCTATTCTTCTTCTTCTCCTTATTCTTATTCTTATTCTTATTATTCCTATTCTTCTTCTTATTATTCTTCTTCTTATTCTTCTTCTTATTCTTCTCATTCCTATTCTTCTTCTTCTTCTTATTCCTATTCTTATTCTTCCTATTCTTCTTCTTCTTCTTATTCCTATTCTTCTTCTTCTTCTCATTTTTCTTCTTATTATTATTCTTATTCTTGTCCTTCTTCTTCTTCTTCTTATTATTATTATTCTTATTCTTGTTCTTATTATTATTCTTATTCTTGTACTTGTTCTTCTTCTTATTCCTATTCTTCTTCTTTTATATCTACTACTACTACTACTACTACTACATATAAGCCGTCTAGTGAATGTCCCTACAAAATGGATGATAGAAAGCCTCCTTAGATTTCCAGCACCTTCCACCGTATCTTTACCAACCCACAACAGTATAGTGATCAGGACGGTTTCAGTTTTTTTTTCTTGAAGTTTCCAACTCCGCTTGAATGCAGGATTAGTGATTTTTTTTTTTCATCCTCCCAAGCGCGTTCTCATGGACTTGAACGTGACTATCATGTTCCTCAGTTATTGGGCAACGACCTTTTCCTTATCTTTGAACTATAGTCTACCAAAATAACCACATTTACAATTTCGACTGCTTTTTCTTTTACTTATTTTTATTCTTTTATTTCTTTATATTCTTTCTCCGTCTTTTTTTTCCTTCGTCTTTTTTTTTTCATCTTTTCCTTCGTCTTTTTTTTTCATCTTTTCCTTCGTCTTTTTTTCATCTTTTACTTCTTTTTCGTCTTCTTTTTCGTCTTTTTCATTTTTTCCTTTCTTTCTATCTTTATTTTCCTTCTTCTTTGTCTTTTTCTTCATCTTTTCTTTCTGTCCTTTTCTTCTTCTTCTTCTTCTTCTTCTTCTTCTTCTTCTTCATCCTTTTCGTCATTTTTCTTTCTTTCTGTATTTCTTCTTCCTTTCCTTCTTCTTCTTTGTCCGTTTCTTCATCGTTTCCTTCTTTTTCTTCATCTTTTCTTTCATTCTTTCTTTCTTCCTCCTTTTTTTCTACTTCTTCTTCTTCGTCATCTTTTCTTTCTTCTCCTTTTTTTCTTTTTTTTTAGTGTTGTTTTCAGTATAAATAATTTGTATTTAAAACAAAAAAAAAATAACTGCTTTGATTTTTTTGTTATTATAGTTATTACACTCTCTTTCTTTCTCTTTCTCTCTGCGTAGGATTTTACAACTGATACCGGTGCTCTACTGATCAGGGGCACAACTATCTCTCAGGTGGCACAATCTTCTTTCTGATCCTTATTCATACCAAGATTAAAAGAAATATTTTGGCACCTTGATACTAAATCGCTATCTACTTCTCTTACACACCTTTCGACATGCCTACGTATTTTTTTTACTTATTTTAATTTTTTTTTTTTTTTGACTGTTCCTTCATTTTATTCCCAACCCGACCCCTTGCTTCTTCATTTACCGTTTTCTTCCTTCCCATCCATCCCAAAACGAATGTACTTCTTTGGACTTTATGCCTTTCCCACTCTTTTTTACATTTTTTTTTTTATTAATCTATCTCCTGGTCTCTAACGTACCCAGTTTTACCGGGCAAATAACTTACAGCCAGACAATAATAAACAGATTTTCTATTTTGTGGCCATCCTAAAAGAAGGAAGGAAAGAATGAAACAGGAAAGGAGGAAAGGGTGGAAGGTAGGAGAGATGGGGAAAAAGGAAGGAGGGTAGGGAAGAGGAAGGTAATACAGAGGGCATTCTATTTCTCTTTCTTTCTTTTTTTTTTTTTTTAAACATTTCCGTTTGAAATTACAGTTTTTCTTTACTTTTTTCGCTTTCCATTTTCTTCTTTTCTTTTGTTCTCGTGTTCTTTCTATTTTTTTTCTTTCTTTTTTCTTTCTGTCTACCTTTCCTTGATTCGTTTTTTGTTTTAGTCTTTGATTTGTTTTCGTTTTCTTTCTTTCGTTTCCGTCTTCTTTCTTTCTTTCTCTTGTTTTCAACTTCTTTCTTTCTTTCTTTCTCTTGTTTTCAATTTCTTTCTTTCTTTCTCTTGTTTTCAACTTCTTTCTTTCTTTCTCTTGTTTTCAATTTCTTTCTTTCTTTCTTTCTCTTGTTTTCAACTTCTTTCTTTCTTTCTTTCTCTTGTTTTCAATTTCTTTCTTTCTTTCTTTCTCTTGTTTTCAACTTCTTTCTTTCTTTCTTTCTCTTGTTTTCAATTTCTTTCTTTCTTTCTCTTGTTTTCAATTTCTTTCTTTCTTTCTTTCTCTTGTTTTCAACTTCTTTCTTTCTTTCTCTTGTTTTCAACTTCTTTCTTTCTTTCTCTTGTTTTCAATTTCTTTCTTTCTTTCTCTTGTTTTCAATTTCTTTCTTTCTTTCTTTCTCTTGTTTTCAATTTCTTTCTTTCTTTCTTTCTCTTGTTTTCAACTTCTTTCTTTCTTTCTCTTGTTTTCAATTTCTTTCTTTCTTTCTTTCTTTCTTTCTTTCTCTTGTTTTCAATTTCTTTCTTTCTTTCTTTCTTTCTCTTGTTTTCAATTTCTTTCTTTCTTTCTTTCTTTCTTTCTCTTGTTTTCAACTTCTTTCTTTCTTTCTCTCTTTCTTTCTTTCTTTCTCTAGTCCTCATCTTACTTTTTTGTTTTCGTCTTTTTTCTTCGTTCTGTTCTTTCTTTATTCTTTCTTTCTTTCTTTCTTTTCCTTATTTCTTTTTTCTCTTACTCCACTCTTCTTTCTTTCCTTTGTTCTCGTCTTTCTTTTTTGTTTTTATCTTCTTTCTTTCTTCTTTTGTTCTCGTCCTTATTCTTTCTTTCTTTCTTTCTTTCTTTCTTTCTTTCTTTCTTTCTTTCTTTCTTTCTTTCTTTTGTCCTTGTCATCTTTTTTGTTTGTCTGGCTTCTTTCTTTCTTTCTTTGTTTCATTCTTTTCTTCTTTCTGTCCTTCTTTCCTTTACTTTCATTTGCTTTTTTTTTCTCTTGTCCTCACCGTTTTTTCCTTCTTTCTTCCTCCGCTCTCCATCTCCGTCTGTCTGTCCCTCCCTCCCTCCCTCCCGTTTATGTTTCTGTTTCTGGTGTATTTCTTTCATTTTTCTTTCCGCCCTTCTCTCATTTGCCCTCTGCTATAAACAGGCTTTTAAATTTATTCTTTTATTCTGATAATTTAGTTACCTTATAGTCAAAATTAGTTTTCCTGTCTTGGTAAAATCTCTGATTAGAACAAAACCTATTTTGTTTGGTAGCTTTTCCTACATTTTTTCTTTCTTACGTAAATTAAAAAGAAAAAGAAATCTCCTGCCTCTTACACAGAAAACAAAAATATCCCCGTCTCACACATGGAATGTATAAAAACGTATCAAATTTACAAGGCAAGACATTTAAAACTTATAATTGTCTTTTAAGTGGTCGAATTACTTCTGGAGTCGTTAAATCATCGAGCAAGCCAAGGTTTCAATAAAAAAAAAAAAAATCTCAAAATTGCTTACGGTCAGGGCCAGAACAAATCAGAATCTATGATAGGCCTCACCAGTCTGCTGCATCTCAATTTCGATAAAGTAGTAATTATTTGCGTAGTATTCATATAAAATACAAATTTTATTGTAACCTAATTATATATAATAATGGGTCATATATAATATAGGTGAATAATTCAAGTACAGAATTTGAAAATAAATACAATACATCTAAATACAAATTAGAGACACGTAATAATAGATGTGGCAATTTTTAACATCAACTTGAGATTTTTTTTTCTTGTTAAAAACTTGAATAATTTTAACATATTGAACATTTCGGATAGAAAAATAGTGAATCTTATATAGTGTTTAATTCCGGGATTCAGCATGAGCAAACGAAATTTACGGATTTTGACAAAAAAAAGACCCCAGAATGACGTCAAAGTCTATGAACATTTTTCATCCTTTATCAATCAGTTATGCTTAGTATAATTTGTAACGTATATAAGTGTAGGTAGAAAGAAAAAAAAGAAGCAAATGTTAATAAGCTAGTGATGGCTACCAAAGCACTACTCAGGGACCCCTATCAGGCTTGGCCGCCCTCCGATCGGTGAGTCGTGGAGGTAGTACGCACTGGCCCTGTCTACGGTGTACTGCAAAGTCATCTTGCTTTTCATTCTTGATTTTCAAACTCTGCCGAATCTGTTTACTTACAGCGATGACGCCTGAAAGACTAACACCTTCCTCTTATTTCCCTTCACTATTTCTTATCAGAATAATCGCCACATCGCCCTCAATTCTATCTTGACCTTTTTGCCTTGGTCCCCGATTACTTTTAGAATAAACGCCTACAACCAAACCGACTTGCAAATTCATCTTCTCTCTCCACGCCAATAGGCTTACGGCCCTATAATGTTGAAACACCGGTTCCTTTGCGATCACGAAGTTAAGCAACATCGAGTCTGGTCAGTATCTAGATGGGTGATCGCTTGGGGGATATAAGGCGCGTTAGGCTTGGATGTACAGGTGGTGTCATGGATATTGGCTCAGAATTGTTAACTGGAGAGTCAAATTCAAATTCCTTGTATATTGGCTTACGCGCAAATACACTTGGGGAAAGGCACAAATCTACCTCTTCTTTTTTCCCCAGCTATGGGTTAATTATTAAGACTTGTATCAGCCAATCAGTTAAATGCCATACGTGATACACGTAGGTTGCCATTTTTTTTTCTGTGGCAGACTGGTTGGTAACCAAGGCTATATAGAACCCAGCCTCATGCTGGAACACAATCTTCAGGCCTGAAGATGGCGTCCAAGTATGAAACAGACCACACACACACACTTACTCTCACCAAATGGAAAAATGTAAGCATATTAGGAAAGCTAAATAAAAAAATAAAATATTCCTTGTCCGTCATATTCAACGAAACCCATTTGAAACAAAGCTTACTCCCCAAATATACTTTATATATATATATATATATATATATATATATATATGTAACCATGAACAATTATGTAATATCGGCTCTTTTATATGCCAGTGAATGCTGGTCAGTCACCTCACAGATGAAGAAACGACTTGAAGCAACATAAATGTTGTTCTACAGAAGGATGCTGAGTATACCGTACACTGAACATGTGAGCAAAGACGAAGTTTTAGAGAAAGTGGAAACGAAATGAAAACTTATAATTAACATCAGAAAGAGACAGTTGACATTTCTAGGGCACAGATGAGAAAAGAGGGCCTGGAAAATTTCACACTCACAGGACATATTGAAGGCAAGAGGCACAAATGAAACCCGTGCATGACCTGCCTAACAGGAATTAGGAGAGATAGCAAAAAGAAAGGATTTTGGTAAAAGACCCAAAGGACAGGAAGTTATGGAGAGCCGTGATCGCTCACTTCTTGAAAAAGAAGAAGATACTTAGGCAGTGATTCTTCGTTTAAACATATTTTATAAAACAGAACACTTAAGAAGTTTTGTGAGTTTCGCCTTGTGTCAAATAATGAGTGTAGGAGGAAATTCGTAAAACTTTTTGCCGAAATTATATGTTGTGTTTCGACTAATGTCGGTTGTTTACAGTGAAAAAAAAACAGTTAGAAAGTCGGGAGATAGTGTAGCATTTATCTTGAAGGATAAAGACAGAGACGAGCCTAGAATTCTCAGATTACGAAGGGTCTTGGCATGGATAGAGATAACTATATAAATAAGATGATATCATCTCTTACGTCAGCAAAAGGCACTTGTAAATAAAGGCGGTTCGTTCGTAAACCGAAAAACAGAGTCAACAACTAATGGCCCAATTTATACCAGCCAGCCCGTTCGTGTGTCTACACCAGTCTTTCTTAACTGGTGCGCCCGACCGCACTAATACGCCCGGGCGCACTTATACGCCCTGAAAGGTAGCCAGATGTGCCCCAAGTTAACAGAAGACTAAATTATTAATTATTTTTTTATATTTTAAAAATTATATATTTTTTTAAAAGATAGAGACATCAAGCACATAGCTTCTATATCTAAGTCTTTGTCATTTGATATTTTAAACTGAATGCTAAATGTTTTAATCTTTAAGAAGGCGTGGATAATCCTTTCACTTTTGCCTTTCTCAAGGGACATGAATCAGTAATTATCATTCTTCATAAATTTAATTACAGAGGAAATGAGAGTAGGTTTATCACATAATAAGTCTAACATTCAAAAACTGCAAAAGGGAATCAAGCTCAGGTTTTATAGTGATTTTCCAAGCGTAGCTTAGATGTGGCACAAGGCCGAAAGTATGGAGCGCCCGGTGAAAATCGAACTTAATATTCAGTCGTAATTGTTCTATCGAGACAAGCTTGCTAACCATTACACCATCTCGAGGTGTCCTGTAGATTTTCCAAGCGTAGCTTGGATGTGGCACAAAGCCGAAAGTATGGGGCTCCCAGTGAGGATCGAACTCACTACTCAGTCATAATTGTTGTAGCGAGACAAGATAGATGACCGTTACACCGTCAGGTTTTATATAAGGGTATATATGAAATGTACAGTGTAATGTATTAAAAATAAATGAAATTTCTTTATTATATTCCTATTTTCAAAATTCAGGATTAATTTTTCCTTATTAAAATTGAAAGTACACCCCACATTTTTACTTATTCTAGAAATGCACCGCAAAATAAAAAAAAAAGGTTACTAAACACGAATCTGCACCATAATTCGATGTATACGGATATTTACATACTTGGGCAGAGGTGTGTATGTGTGTGTGTACATGTGTGTGTATCTGCATATGTAAGTATGTGTGTGTGCATATTCTGCACGAATGTAAACAATTTATGTTCGACTAATTGTCTACCTCGAACGTTACATTTTTTCTGGGCTACAAGTTTGATTAAAAAAAAAAAAAAATGAAAGATCGTTATCTTAAATACGATTTGAAAACTGGCGTCTGATACCAGCGGTAAAGATGAGTCACAACCAAAGCCCCAGACAAAGTTATTTTCTAAGCTTATCTTAGTTTGACACAAGGCAACAAATATAGGGCACCCGGTGAGGATGCAACTCACTACTCGGTATTAATGGTCAAACAGACGACCTCATTGGTACTTCACCCCAATGTGATATTCCTATATGGTTTCATTACCCTTACTATTTTCTGACTATGCATAGGCAGCCCTATCATAATCATCATCAGCAGCAGCGTGACATCATCATCATCATCATCATCATCATCATCATCATCATCATCATCATCATCATCATCCCTTTCTTCCGTATCATCATCATCAGCAGCAGCAGCATCATTATCCCTATCATCTTCATCATATATATTCAGGGACAATATCTCCGTTACTTGTGCTTCTTCTTCTTCTTCTTCTTCTTCTTCAATATATATATATATATATATATATATATATATATGCGAGAGAGACTGAAGTCAACACCCAGAGGCGACAGTTTGTTCGATGCTTAAACACAATCATCAGATATGACTTGAAAATTGTCTTTCATCATGAAACAGAGTTCCGCTGCTGGGTGTTGACCCCAATGTCCACATTCTATCTCTGATATTGAGCACTTTAACTCATAAATATAGCATACCATAAAACTATATCTTTAACATATATATAAATGTGTGTGTGTGTGTGCATATATATGTATTTGTGTGAGTGTGCATATATGTGTGCGTTTTATATATATATATATATATATATATATATATATATATATGCATGTGCATGCGTGCGTGAGCACATATATATATATGTGTGTGTGAGTGGCAGATATATATATATATTTGGACAGCAACCTTTCTTTTAAACAGCTTTCGTTAAATATGACGGACAAGGGAAAGTTTTTAAATCTTTATTATTTTTTCCATCCATCTTAAATTTTCACGTTTGGGTGGCAGCCAGCGAGTACTGAAGACAAGAGTGGTATTTACTTGATTCCCACAAAGTCAAGATGTGACACAAGGTCGTTTAACGTGGGAGACCCGAGTGTTTCTACTCAAAGGCCACTGGTCAAAATTGGTCATAGCTTGTCCAAGCTGGTCAGAGCCTAGTCAAAGCTGGTCATGACTTGTCCTAGCAAGTCCAGGCCGGAGCCAGTCCAAGCTAGTCGAAGCCTTGATCGAATCTCAGCCATAGGCCAAGAAACGATCCACTTTTTTTTTTATTACGGGAGGAGGCACAGTGGAATAATGGATAGTGGAGCCGAGTTGGAATTCCCGTCGTCGAAGCCATTACATTCACTTACGTGGAAAAGATATGAATCCTCTTCTTCTCCCCCTCCCCAGCTATGGTAAATTGCAGGACAGACCGGGTTCTATAGCATTGGATAGCAACTGGTCTATCGCAGAAAGAAATGGCAATCTACTGCGGGAAAAAAAATCTGCCTCGTGAGTCATGTATCGAAAGATAAATGATCGCCTAAGTGTGTATCACGCATGGCACTGACTGACTATGGGTAAATAGCAGGACAGACCGGGTTCTATAGCCTTGGATAGCAACTGCTCTATCGCTGAAAGAAATGTCAAATTATTGCGGGAAAAAATCTGTCTCGTCAGTCATGTATCAAAAGATACATGATCGCCTAAGCATGTATCACGCATGGCACTGACTGACTGAGGTGTTGAATACGTTTGATTTTAAATCTATATCAACGTCGTGAAATGGGATTTTGTTATTAACCAGAAGTTTGTATAAAAATTTTAGTGTTGAGTTTTTATTTTAAGTTGATTTATAATTTATAATTTTGTCTTTTCTTTTTATCAAGACAAAAATGTCAACATTGTACCTTGTGTCGATTTGTTGTTGTTTCCACCACTATATATGACATGTAAAAGTTAGAGAAAACAGGACCTAATATATATACTAGTTTGTCCAGAAAGTTCTGACTCACTTAGGAAACAGAAAAAAACAACAAATCTTGAGCGCTGTCTGTTAGAATTTCCAAGGACTATTGCATTTTGAGCTTGTTCCACACGATCGCGCCATAATCGCTAAACCCAACGCCAGCAGCTAAACCGCGTGTATGAATAACAAAAGGAGGAGTATCCTGCTTTGGTCAATCGAGGTCTTGTTTCAGCAAGACAATGCGAAACCACACCCTGCCAGGTTGACTAGGGAGAAGTTCAAACAGACAGACGGTGTTCAGATTCTTCCACATCCACCGTACAGTCCCGATGTTGCTCCGTGTGACTATGGCTTAGTCCGCTCAATGGCACACTTCCTCCGCGACCAGCGATTTATCACTTTTGATGAGGTGAAGGAAGCTTGTTTACAGATTTTAGATTCAAAACCAGCAGACTGGCATCTGGGACAGTTTCAGATGCTGGCTGATCGCTGGTAGAAGATCGTCGAGAATGGTGGTTTTTATTTTGAAGAATAAGAGACAGGACTTTCTTAATATATATATATATTGTGTGTGTGTGTGTTTAAACAATGGTCTCGTGTTTTTTTATTTATCCTCAAATTTATTTATCTCTATGTACATACTCAATCAAATAAAGGTCTTAGCTTGTAGCTCTACGCACAAGGTTGACCCGTAGTAAAGTTGTAACATAGATTGAACAATGTCGCTTTGTACATCGTTATTGTCCTTGTAACGTGAGAAACTCAGATCACTTAACAGGACATACTCTGTTCTTTAAGTGGGGAAAACTTGCCTGGTCCCAGGAAATGTTATTAGCTTAATTTGTTTATAATCGGATCTACTAATTACAAAGTATTGCGGAACAGTTCAAAAAGAAATCCAAGACAAAATTTATTCAATAAATTCCAATGTCAGTGTGTCACTGTGTCAAACTTTTTCAATTTAAATCCTCGAGGCCGCAACCCAACGTATTATACTATTTTCGGATCAGGTTGACTCCGTGAGCAAATTAAAAACATTCCGGGGGCCAGAGCCGGACCTGCAATCCTAAAATTTTGACTTTCCAAGTTTTCATTACTGTGATTGTTTTTGTCGATTTTTTACGTGATTTTTTTTGCGACGAAATTTTTTTGTGCGCTAACAATTTTTATAACTTGAAAATAAATTTGAAAATAATCGAAATTAATTGCGAAATCCAGTGAAAAGCACCCATGACTTAAAAATAATTGTTTGTACTGAAAGTAAGGACCTACGTACATCAAATTGTCTTTCAATTAAGTGACAGCAGAAGAATTTTTTAAATGGTAAGCTTAAATATTAATGCAGCGATCAATTTTGAGTACTTTTGTATTTTATTGTTGCCTATCGTATCTACTCCTTCCTAACTATTGTGATGAAGGCCCAATCAAGAGCCTTCTGCAGGATTTTAAGGCGGCTTTTAAGCTAGTGACTCCTATTTGGTTGTATTTTTCGGAAGTGAGTTTAATCAAGAACTTTTCAGCACCCCTCATAATATAAATTCTCTCTTTTTGAAATAATTGTTTTTGGGGAATGGTTGTTTTTCTTTAGCAGCATATCAACGCCTCTATGGGTTATTTAAAACCTGAAATCTAAAATATTCAATTTACAATTTTATTTATTTTTGGGCGAGACAATAACAGTTTTAGTGATACAAGTCTTACTAATTGACTCATAGCTAGGAGGGGAGAAGAGGCGACCTCTCACTTTGCCCCAGGGGTACTTGCGCGTAAGGGAATATAACGAACCCAACTGGAATTGGAACACGGCTCTCCGATTAAGAATTCCCAGCCACCCGCACATACAAGCTTACAACTACCCGGTATTCCCAAGCGGTCACCCATTTAGGAACTGATCAAGCTCGACTTTTCTTAACTAGGGTGATCATACAGGCACCGGTATTTTAACGTGCTGTGGCCGTGAGTCGTGAAAGGTTTGGTTATTTGTTGAAGAATATTTCTTGCACTTTCTTTTCAACAGGAAGAAAACTAAATTCCCAGCCGTGGAGGAGGTAATAAGAAAGCACTCCACTATTTTTTCCAAGAAACCATAATAATTGACACACATTAAAGGATGCTGGTGAGGACCGTGATCGCCTACGACCTGAAGGGATAAAGTATTTAAAAAAAAAAAATTGTTGGTACTGCCCAGTAATGAAAAGATTCAACAACAGAAAATAAAATAAATGTTTGGTCAGATCTGGCCGAGAACTTCTCAATACTGATTCGTAAAATTTGCTTTACTCTCATCTGTATTACATTTAAACATCGATTCTCGTTCGACCAATTTAGTTAAGCAACATCGAGCATGGTCAGTACGTAGTTGGTGACCGTTCGAGAATACCAGGTTCTGTAAGCCTTACTGGGTGTGTGGTGTAATGGATAACGACTCGAAATTTGAAAATCGAAGAACCTGTTTACATACATCCACATAGTTACACTTCAATCCGGTTTCGTTCGATCATCGACGTTAAGCAATGTCGAGCCTAGTCAGTACCTAGATGGGTGATAACTGGGAAATATTAGATTCTGTAAGCTTGGATGGGCGTGTGGTGTAATGGTTAACTGTTCAGAATTGGAAATTGAAGAGCCTATTTACATACATCCCGTTACTTACACTTCGATCCAATTCTTGTCTGATCACCGAAGTTAAGCAATGTTCAGATTAATCAGTGCCTAGATGGGTGACCGTTTGGGAATACCAGGTCTTGTAAGCTTTGATATGCGTGTAGTATAATGGGTAACGGTCAGAACTGCAAATCGAAGAGCCTATTTACATACACACAGGTATTAGATTGGTGCAAAAATAATGACGTAATGATGTCGTTTTTGACGTATTTTTTTAACGTCAAAAAACGACATTCTTACGTCATTATTTTTGCACCAACCTAATAGTTACATTTCGATCCGGTTCTCGTTTGATCACCGAAGTTAAGCAATGTCAAGCCTAGTCAGTGAGAATACAAGTTGCTGTAAGCTTGGCTGTGCAGGTGGTGTAATGGATGAACGGATCGCAATGTGAAATCGAAGAGCTGAGTTCTAATTCCAGTTGGGTTCGGTACACTGACTTACGCGAATCGAAGAGGACATGATCGACCAAGCGTGTCACTACCGCCCCTACTAAAACGCATTCGACCAGCGCAGTCGGGTAGTGACGCAGTCCTTCCACGCATTACCTGGAGGCGACATACGTCCAACAAATGGCCTCCCCAGATCGAGAAATGAACTCACGTTACATGCGTTAACATGGAGCAGTTGTGAGGGAGCAAGATCTAGTATTACTGTTGTGTGGTGTGTTCTCAGTGTTCTGAATATGCGATCTTGTGCCAGACTAAGCTAGATTTAGCACAATGCCTACACACTTTTATTGCGAGAAGGACTCATTTGAATATAACGTCGATATCTTAAAGTGCTTACGACTTATTGATTTCTTTATCGGCTGTCTTTCACGCAGGTATGTTCGCCTATTGCCCGTTCACTCTCCTATGCTGTCTTTTAAACAGGAGTAGAAATTTTTCTCTTGTTCCTGTTCAGGATTAGGTTTCCGGTTCCTTCTAAATTTTTCACATTCTCTTTCGCTCCCAGTAGGCCCTTGCGTCTTAGTGGCATCATCTCCTTGCTTGGGGTGAATTGATTTTTTTTTTTTTTTTTTTAAATTGATTGACAGAAATACTATTGGTGATTGGTAATTAAAAACTTTATGGAATCGACTAAAATATTTAAAATAAATACCAACTAGAAAGCGTAGTCATTGAGACACTTGAACTGTTCGGCATTTAGCGATCGATGTTCGATTCCATTTCAAAACGAATTCGTAAGTTCAAAAGAATGAAAGATCAACAGACTAATAGTCTCTTAATTTATTTGGGCTTTTCTTTTTTTTTCTGTCTTTTATGTTGTCATGTCGTTTCAGGATGTGACCTATCATGGCTCTCCTCATCTTCCTTTCTTTTGTTGTTCTAAGTAATTTACCATCACTCTTTATCCGTCTTTTCCCATCTGCTCATACAAACGAGTTAAGTAACATCGGACTATCGCGGCGAGGAGCGCGCCGCGTGAAATTTCCTGCGCCTAGCCGAGTAGGAGAACGCCGCATTGAACACGGAAGCTTAGGGTGCGAGCCCGGGTGGAACCGACTGCGAGTGCAGATCTCGATGGCAGTAGCAAGATCCCTTATGCATCCCAGAATCTCTTTCTGGTTGAGGGATTAGCTTTGTGATGAAGAGAAGTTCAAGGGGGTCACAAATGTAACAGATTATTTTTTTTACCCTACCCCACCACCCAAACAAGTCATCTAGACGTGTTAAAATGTGTTAAAACCGATTAAAAAAAAATGCTGTGTCCATTCACTTATCGATTATGGCCCTCCACAGCTTCCTTTTTAAAAACCTGCTAACTGTGTATTTCTAGTTTTTTTTTCCTGGGGAAAAATAATGGAATGATTTCTGGATTTGAATTTAGAGTGTGTCCTTCTCTTAAACTAGCTGCCAGCCAAGGCTAAAGAGTCTAGTTTGTAGTGTACTGTGAGATGAAAAGATAGATGTATACCTTTCTGTTCTTAACTCTTTTGCTGGCCATATGATTGAAAATAGATGCAAACAGATCGTGTAAAATACCCGAGTAGACACACGGGTTCGTAAATCTGTTGATCGTAATGCCACGTTCATCCGACGTCAGTCTTAAATTTAGAACCGACAGCTACAGGATGTTTCGAATTACAGATTATTTAACACTGGTATATCGCTATGATCCTCTCTTCCATTTTGAAATATTTTACAAGCTTTTTGTTTCACATTGAATATGAAATAATTAGGGTATTGGAAGAGCTTGAAAATGTTTTCAGTGTATTAATAATATTTATAACAAATTTTATATATTAAAGAAATGGACAAAGTCCGACAATTTATTTATTAAAGACATTTTTATGTTTAACGTTCTTTTTTTTATAGATACAAGTATTTAAGTAAATGCTCTGTTTATAATAAACAGTATTAAATAACATATACCGGCCTGAATGACCGAGAAATTTTCAGAGAAAATATTCGTCCTTTGACAGGATTCGAACCTGCATCCTATACGGAAATGTCATTTACATTTGATACGCCAGAGCAGTTATGAATGTACGAGATTCATGGAAGATTGAAGTTTATAAGCAGTAAATTCGACCTTGCCTACCAAACGCTCCTTTGTGGCCGAGTCGGTTAAGGCACGTCAGCGTGACACTTGTTTTTTTTTTATTTTATTTTATTTTTCTTGCTTCAGATATTTAGAATTCTTGACGTGTTCTGGGAAGTAAGATTCTATTTTTTTTTCCCCTCTCAAATAATTATTGAAGATATACGTATATGTTGTTTTCGGAAGTATACGTTTGTTTTTTTAAATAAAGATGTTATTTAAGAAGACGTAGATAAAAAAAAAAGAAAGTTATCGACACTGATATATATATATATATATAAGGAGAGAGAGAGCGTGTGAAGATGAAGAATTTTTGCGTAATTTAGAAAACAATTTATCCATCGCACCATATATATATACACACACACACACACACACATATATATATATATGTGTGTGTGTGTGTGTGTGGCCTGACGATTGCGTCTACCATGAAACAGTCTGTTGCCTCTGAGTATTGACTTCAATGTTTACTTTTATATTTACATACGTTCTATCTCTGATATTGAGCACTTTTATCCCATAAATGTAGCACTTTTTAAAACTATATATATATATATATATATATATATATATATATATATATATATATATATATATTAAGAAATGGACAAAGTCCGACAATTTATTTATTAAAGACATTTTTATGTTTAATGTTCTTTTTTTTTATAGATACAAGTATTATATATTATTGTTTATTATAAGCAGAGCATTTACTTAAATACTTGTATCTATAAAAAAAAAAGAACGTTAAATATAAAAAAAAATTAATATATATATATATATATATATATATATATATATATATATAAATTAAATAATTAAGAAAGAGATAACTTTAGGGTTAATTATTAAATTAATAATTATTTAATTAATATTTGCTCTGGTGTTACATTGAGCTCTCGGGATCTTATCCTTTTTACCCACACGGATTACCAAACCTTTCATTACCTTACAATACATGGGTGTGTGTTTGTGTGTGTGTGTGTGTGTGTGTGTACGTCTTAAGGATAACTAAAATCGACACCGCTAGGTGTGATCTATATATTTCTGACGTCAAAATCAATAGATGCGAAAAAATCAAATACCTGAATAGTGTAATTAAGAGACAACGCCAAAAGTGACAGTGAAGTCCGAAGACGCTTATGAGGCGCGAAATATGCCTTTTAGAAACTAGACAAAATATTAAGAGACAGGGAAATGTCGCTTTGAAATAAATAAAAGATTTTTAAGCTGCTATATAATAACTAGTCTCCTATATGCCAGTGAATGCAGGACAAGTCTCTTCGCAAAAGGCAAAGGAAGTTTTTAAAAAAAATATGACCAAGAAAACTGATGCTTGTAATTTGAGTTGAAATTTCTAGAGTGAGGAAAGGTCTTGGAGAATTTGACATTCACATTAAAAAAAAAAAAAAATCCCGGTGCTTTCGGCGATTTTTCTCGGGTGGCTTGTGTCACCGTGGTTTCACCCGGAAAGCGAAAGTGCAACACCGACATCGCTGCTACCCTCGGGCACTCTCCGAGTCCGGATTCGGCAATATTAAGCTGATTACTTTTCGACACATGACCACTCGTTTTATTGCGTTCAATTAAAAGAAAAACAAACAAACAAAAAACAAACAAACAAAAAACAAACAAAACAAAAACGACCCGTTTTCACACGTTCCTCTATGCGTGACTTAGGATCCGGCACCTTGAGAGGAAGACTTTCGTCCTCGTCTAAGGACCGGCTGAGCCGTGCACGGCC